AGCTACTTCCAAATGCCACAGTACTTTCCACCTCTCAACTCTCCGAAGCTTTTCATCACAAAAAATTGAAAGATTCGAGTAATAAACCATGCTTGGCACCTAACGGAATAAATCGATCGGTGTGAAAAGCACTTAGTTATTGTTTTATTTCCGTCGTTTCTGCATAATGCACGTCAGAGAAGAACCGGGTCCGATGCATCAAATTTAAGAATTAATAATTGCTTACCAATATATATATATATATATATATATATATATATATCGAATAATACGGGCTATAGTTCAAAAAATACTTATACTGCTATGTACCGTTACTCTGTTTGGAATTTTGATCAGTTCATTAAGTTGGAGTAAACATAGCGCCTAGAGAGCATCTGACCCTCTCCAATCAGCAGTTTAGCATGTTGATCCCACGCCAAAGCGGTACCTTGCAACCCCTGCAGCCCTAATGCAGAATATCTTTCTTGTCTTTCTTCTCAATTAGAAAATCTACTTCTCAAAGGCAAGGAGCGACAAACTGGACCTTTTTCCTTGGGGTATTTTTCCAGATCCTTAGGTTTAGCGTTTTCATTGTAGATGACTATTTTATTCATGAAAAAACGTGAAAAACGGCAAGTTGTTTTCCTAAAAGGCTATATCCATTATAACACATTGCATTATGATGAACATCAGACGAAATTAGCTCCATTTTCCGGACAACTCATTGTTCACTTATAATCACAAGCTCTGGGATGTGGAGTGGGGAGCCACGTAAGGATTAGTGCGCTTATGAGTGAGATGACAGCGCCTACGTTTTCGGGTGGCGGCGGTGGCAGGGTTGGAACGTGCCTTTAGGGAAAAAGGATGATGGTGACAGTAGCTTAAATCGCTTAATTACTAACACCACTATAAAACCCGAGAACTTGGTCTGGGCATGCAATAGGTCTTCTCCTGAGGTGCAGCCTCCCTACAACAAAGCATTAATTGCGACCCTCCAACCCATGGTATATCCCGACACTTGTTGAAATAGCTAAGCTGAAGGTCGGCTCCAATCACTGTTCCCGATTAGCCATAGAAGACTCTGTGGTGATCTAAAATTTACCTGTGAAAGACTTTTTGTGATGATTTAAGACCGACGTTACGTGTTGTTTCCACTACAGGACTGCAACCGGACGCATGGCCGCAGGTTCACTCTCCGGAGGTTAGAGTCTAGGGGCCTTCCTTCGATTTATCGTCTTGCTGGGAGGTCGAAAGCTGTTTGCAACAGCCCCGTCCGAGGTGGTGGAGGAACAGAAACGATGCCTTGGCGAGCATCGGGTGGGACGGTGGAAACTTGCAGACCAGTGTGCGAATGGCTGTCGGCGTAAATGATGATTAGGGTCATACGGACCGTGGCCCCTCCTGCCAAAATGAAAAACTAAATTTTCATGTTACCTCGGCTAGCGCACGGGACGGTGAACAATAGACGAACGTTACGAAATAAATACGGAATGGAAGGACGTTGACTGATTCTGTGTATGAGCCTCATATGCTCACCCTTAAAGCAAGCTTGTCGTTACGTAGGCGCCGGTCAGTGCCATGCGGGTAAAGCAATTAATTGAATTACTAATCCTATGAAAAATAAAAATATGATGAAGGTACATACAACGACCCCGCTTTACATTACCATTTCTGCAAGTTGTTGGCAATCGTTAAATTAAAAAATTAGTCGACTGTGACAGAAGCATAATTCACTGCCTAAAGTAATAAAGGCTCATCGATCAATCTACAGGTCAAACAGTCGTCAATACGTTCTGATCTACAGACGCAATGCATGCATGGTATAGTATACAGTATATAATAGCATATATATCATAATAAGTAGCATCACTGAACAAAAATATACCTGTGGGTGTATATTCGCTGCTACTTGCAAGTAGCACGTCGTCAGCGAATAATAGGCTATTCGCCCGGTACAATGAGCTACATCTTTTATACCCAATTCTCGTTTTTTTCCTTCCCCATTATATAACACACGGTGGGCAGTATTCTCGAAAATTACCTTAACTGCCTCAGGGATCACCGTAGCTAATATATGCATTATTCTGTTACAATTGACCCTAAAAGGTGCATCACGCAATAAACCTAGAGCGAACTAGACAGTATGACAGAAAATATTTAAATGATCTTGATATTATTACTGCAGGTTTATAATAACGTTTCTGCGAGGATTTAAAAGTGATCGTGGTATTGTGGGACATACTATACATATTTACACATACCGGATAAAAATGACTTGATTTCCGCTTCTTTAGCTGAGAACGGTAAGCCACGAAGTCGAATGACAACGGGATTTTTGTCCTATTGTTAAAAAATAATTTGAATACGACGGAAAATACCTCAGTGCACATCCGGAACCACTCATCGGGGGAAAATAAATGGCCAAGAATGACTCTCAA